GGATTGACATAAACATTATTGGCGCAGTCCGCTTAAACGACTAATCAGCGTGCTTAAGTTTGTATGTAAACGAGGCCTCGCTTTTCGTGGAGATAATGAAACGATTGGATCCCCTAACAATGACAATTACTTTGGGTTACTAGAACATTTTGCAGAATACGATGATTTCTTAGGACAACACATAAAAAATATTTCCAGTCGTGGTTCTGGTCATACAAACTATTTGCCATCTACTGTATGTGAAGAACTTGTTAGACTAATGGGCAACCGAGTTTTAAATGAAATCATTTCACGCTTAAAATTGTAGAAATACTATTCAGTGCCTCTTGATCCTCCTGCTGATAAAGGTCATATTGATCAACTAACTTTAATATTCAGATATATGGAACAAGATAGACCAGTTGAAAGATTCGTGAAATTTTTGCCGAATCAATGACACAAAGCGGAAGAAATGTTTCGTGGATTAATGAATTTCCTTAAAGACCATGACATCGACATTCAGAATTGTCGTGGGTAATCTTACGATAACGCTTCAGCTATGAGTGGGAGATACAATGGTCTTCAAGCTAAAGTGTCAGCTATAAATCATCACGCAACTTGGATACCCTGTGCTGGATATTCATTAAATCTGGTTGGAGTAGCAGCAAGCAAGTGCTGTGCTTCAGCAGTAGCATTTTTTGAGTTTCTCGAGGCACAACATGTGTTCCACAAATCTTTATGCACTTTTCACAGACTCTCTAAAAATTGTGGAATCTGGTTGGGTGCATGTACAGAAAATTGTGTCTACAACACGATGGTTCTGCCGATCCGATGCAGTAAAAGCTCTCATCGTTGGATATCATCTTATCCGCAATACACTTCAAAATATATCGGAGAATGAAAATAAAACACCTAAAACACGTTCCGAGGCTAATGGTCTTCATGGCAAGATGTGCAAACTGGAAATTGGTATCTATGCTGCATTTTGCACGACATTCTTGGTCGAGGTAATGCTACAAGTCATATACTACAAAATCCCAAACCCGATTTGAACACAGCCATAGCAGCACTGAAGTTTCTGCAGTGTTTTGTAAGTGAAAAATGAGATCATTTTCGTGATTATGAGGAAGAAGGGAGGGAGATGTCTGGAACTGATAAATATGTAAAAGCACGCGAGCCTTATCAATGTGTGCGGCTCACTCCATTAGATTATGGAGGATCAGGAGAAGCTAGACATACGGTATCTGAAAAATTTCGGGTTCAGAACTTTTTCCTTGTAATAGATCAATATCAAACCTCTTTGAATCAACGCCTAAATGAAATGGCTTAAATGGTTTTTAAATGAACGTTTTATTATTCCTAACATTTTATTAGCTTTACCAGACACATAATTAACTTGACTAGACCATTTTAAGTTGTTTGAAATCATAACTCCTAAATCTTTTTCAATTTTGGTTTCTGGTAGCTCAACTCTATTTAACACTGAATCATACATTGTGTATATATCCTTACTATTTTTGCTACCAATATGCATGCGTTTACTATTATTGACATTAAATTTTAATAGCCATAATTGTGACCATGTCATTAATATGTTTAAATCTGTTTGAGTCTTTTCTGTAAGAAAAGTCTCGAACATATCAATCATCAGCATACATTTTACAGTTCGTTGATAACTCATTCGGTAAGTCGCTTATATAAACAACAAACATAAACTGACCCAAGACAGACCCTTGCGGTACTCCACTTGTAACTGGAGACCAATTTGAAAATTCGCCATTGCAGATAACACGTTGTACTCTGTTAGATACGAAATATTTGCACCATCTAACTGCTTTATAGTTAAAACCATAACTTTTTAGTTCAAGACACAATTTGTTGTGAGGTACGGAGTCGAAAGCTTTTTTCATATCAAGGAAAATAATATCTACTGGTAAATTACCTTCCATTGCTTGAGTTATTAGATCCATAGATTCTATAAGGTTTGTACAACAGTTTTTTTCTTTAGAAAATCCATGCTGTTCCTTAGTTAAGAGATTGTTATTTTCTAAGTGCGACATAAACGTAATATTTAAGATACGTTAAATTACTTTACTTATAACTGAAGTAAGTGATACTGGTCGATAACTCGATGGTTCCTATTTATCTCCACTTTTAAATAATGGTGTTAGATTAGCATTTAACCACATCGATGGAATTATTTCTGTGTCATACGATTTATTAAAAATAAGTGATAAAGAAAGAGAGAACGCATCTGCGCAACATTTTAAAGGAAATGGGTGAACTCCATCCACTCTTGTACATTTATTTGGATTTAGTGTCTTCAGGATTATAGAAACTGTGTCCGGTGAAAATTTAGGGTCCTCATAAATAATGTTTGTTCTATTTTTAAAGAATGGTATATTGTCACTAATTTCATTGGTAAAAACAGAGCTTAAATAGTTATTTAAGGAATGCGCTATTAATAAATAATTTGTTTCAAGTTTGCCGTTTATATTTAATGCGTTAATACCTTCTTTATCTTTTTTGTTTATATATGTTTTTTGTTTATATAATTGCTTTTGGTTTTTTTTTAACGTTTAAGGCGATCGTAGTTTTATATAATTTAATTTGGTTCTTAATTTCTTTTTTTACTTTATTTCTAATTGATTTGTATTCTAATACATTTCCTTTGTTTAAAAAACGATTATGTAAACATTTTTTCCAGAGGTTTTGTTTCTTTTTAGTTTTTTAAGTTCATCCAAGGCGCTTTTGTTTTAACAACTTCTTTTGTAATTGTTGGAATGAAATATATAAGTATATATATTTCATTACTGGTAGCCTCTTAAATCAATCGGCGTACAACGCGGAAATAAATTTACGGTGGTATTTATATGACACCGCAATCAGTTCATATACAGAAACATAGTCAAAAGAAGCGATATCTCAATCATTCTCACCTTAAAAATTTTTAATGGAATCATCGAGAGTACAGATAGTGAATTTTGATAGTAAAAATCAAATATAACGGGTGTAACGAGACACTATTCTAACAAGTTATTTGAATTTGCTGTTATTAACGACTCTTCAGTTGCTACGTTTTTAGAAACTGACATTGAAATAAAAGGTTGTGTTTTAACCTTCCAACCAAAATTTGTTCGAAAGGTGCACGTTTTGGTTCAAAACATCCCTATCGGCACACTCAGGAATGGTTGTTAAAGTGCTGTTGTTTTACTTGGTAAGCATCTAGCTGTCGGCTTCATCTAGCTGTCGGCTTCATCTAGATGTCGGAAGAGGAGAGTACGACTCTTTTTATTTGCAAAAATGTAAAATGGAGAAGATATTTTTATTGGAAATGGAAATGTGATCATTATTATCAGAAACTGAAAAAAATCCACATCAAAACCTCCTACCCCGATATCAAAACGTTGATGGACTCGCTCTTCGCTATAAACACCAAGGCCAACCCGAATCAAACCCTCCAAAATTGACAAACCCAACTGTTTTACCTTCAATACAATCTACCGTAACGCAGAACAACAGCGCAAGTGAAGACATTGATGCTAACAGTGGCAGTGTTGACATCAATGTGGATATTGTTACGGTAAATCTATGTCTTAGTGAAAAAGAACACCCTGTAAAACCACAAAAAATAAAATCCACTCAGCCAACAAGAAAAAGACTCGGTCAATCGGAGTGTGAAACCCCCCAAAAAGTTATTAACACCACGGAACTTAAAGAATCCATCAATTTCATCCATCAAGAACCCACGCATTTGGAACAAGTTGTTTCGTCCAACGAAAACGATGGGAAGTTTTGCGACGATGAAACAGATATCTTAATAATAGATGAAGATTATGATAGCCAAAAAAAAAAAAGAAATCGTAAGATTATTTTTTCTCATTATTTTTTTGTCTTGACTTTCTTTTTCCGCTTTGTTTTCAAATTTGACTTTTTGTTCAAACCTTTCCGTTCTTAAACTTAATTTTTTTCTTTCTACGAAAAAATCTTTTTTTCGAGTTTTTTTCTGTTCTATTTTTAATTTCTCATTAAAAATGAATGGCACATGTTTAATTATGCGCTTAAGCTGTCGTAAATTGTTCACGGTGGTTTAAGTTTAAGCATTTGCGGACATTTATTATGCGCATGCGTTACTTTAAAAACAACAATAACATCGTAATTTTGATTTTTTTTGTTATGATTTATATCGTAACCTAATAAAAAAGGTCATATCATTGCTTTGAAGATGTTTATACCAGATATAAATTCATAAACTAATAAAATATATGGCCAAGGAAAACACATTTAATTTGAAATACTTAAATTTGTTAATTTTTATGTAATAAAAAACGCGGGAAAGTCGGAAATTATTTTATGGTCATCCTAATTACTAAAACATAATAATTAAGCATTTATTAGAATTTTTATGCCTTAAAGCTGTATATATTTTAAAAGAAGAAGGTTTCAACTTTATAATAAAAAAAAAATCAGAGTCCGGTTACTTTTTTAAGTTTAAAAATTTTGTAAATCAAATCTTATATTTTAGCAATAAAAAAACATACAAAAATGACTGAGTCTCATGAAACAAAACTAAAAACATTATGCAGAATATGTGGAGAAAGTGGAGATAATGATAGTGTTCTTTTAACAAAACACATTGCTAGAATAGAATTTTGTTTTTTTATCCGAATCGATAAAGACCACTCAAATATACATCCTCAAAAAATGTGTTATAGATGCTTTTCAATATTAAGAAATATTGAAAAAGGTTCAAACACTGAACTAAAATTAAGATCATGGCCTGAAAATTGCAATCTAACTGAATGCGTTTGCTTTAAATCCAATAAAGGAAAAAAAAAAAGAAAAAGATAAGTGGAAGACCTTCGAGTATTAGTTATAAAGAAAATATTTAGACAAGACACAAAATAAATAACATACAGTCTAAACTTTCACCTCAAACAAAACGTAATCTTTAACTGCAAGGTATTAACTGCATCTTAAACCCTCATGTGCATCTTTGTGTTTGTACTATTTGCAATGACATGCATAAACCAATTATTATAAAAAACTGTCTTCATTCATTCTGCGCATCATGTCTATTACCAATTATCATTGGCAAACAAATAGCAGAAACAAAATGCCCTAAATGTTCCTTTTCAATTCCAAGCGATGGTTTAATTTCATCAACGAATGTCATTGAAATGATAGAAAATTTACAAGAAGTATGCAAGCAAGGTTGTGCTAGATTGTTTAAAATCACACAACTGTCAGAACGAAAGAAGCATCAAAAAACTTGTCAGAAAACTCAAATATCAAGTTCAACAACATTATCATTACCAACATCATCACCATCAACTTCACAAATAAACCTTTCAGATATATTTGCATTGGATTCAACAAGTATTATACCAAGAAACATTGAAGATGCTGCTCTGATGTAATAAAACAAAAAATCTCAAACAACATCCAATGTAATTGAATTTCCGACAGGTGGACCAAGGGTAAGACTATTTTTACAAAAGTAGAGACTGTAAAATCACTATAACAAAACAAAAATGCTTTTAATTTTATAATAGAAAACTATAGTATGATTTTAAATATTTTAAATAAATTACACAACATTTTAGCCCTTATGCTTCACATTAACACCAAGAGCCTACTAAGAAAGTTCAGATGTATGTAAACGCACAATTCGTAGAAGACAATTACATCTAAAACATAATATGAGCAAAACATGCGGAGAAAGCATCAGTTCTACAATCAAGCAAACTGCTACTCTTTTGAAATCTTTTAATGAAAATGAAAAAAAACATATTCTGAGCAAATCAAATATTTCAAAAGCCAAAATATCTGCTAAAAAAATGATCAGTTTAAAAGCAAACATGAGCAGTACTTATGTCAACATGAAAATATTATCAAGGTACACAAGATTGCAATTATTATATAGAAATCTTAAAAAAAACAAATTCAACACTTTTAATAGTTAGTGATGATAAAAAATAAATAAATAAATATATATATATATATATATATATATATATATATATATATATATATATATATATATATATATATATATACATATATATATATATATATATATATATATATTTATTATAATATATATATTTATTATAATATATATATATATATATATATATATATATATATATATATTTATTTATTATAATATATATATATATATATATATATATATATATATATATATATATATATATATTTATATATTTATAAATAAACATATATGTATATATATATATATATATATATATATATATATATATATATATATATATATATATATATATATATATATATATATATATATATATATATATATATATATATATATATATATATATATATTGGTTACAGAAAATCAAATCAAAGATTTCATGAAGTACTTTCGTGAAAACTGGCCAAACGCTTCAATCACACCTAAGCTTCATATGCTGGAGTACCATGCATTACTTTTCATTAGAAAATGGGGAGTAGGACTAGGTACTTATGGAGAGAAAGGTGGAGAAAGTATTCATGCTAAAATCAACCGTATGAAGAGTACCTACTGCCATATGAAAGGAGTAGGTAGATTAAGAAGCATAATGAATGAGCATTTCATAAAAAACAAACCAACTGTAAAAAAACGAAAACTTACCAATCTTTAAAAGCATTATATTATCACAAAAAAAAGTAACCAGTTTTTGATTTTTGCTTTAAATGATTCACAAACTATTATATTTCAAAAAAAAATCAAGGTTATCACTAAAAAATTTAAAACTTTAGAATATAGACTATAATGTAAGCACAGGTTAAACTTCGCCTAAAAAATAGCTAAGTTTTAATTTAGTACCACTTCTATTCTCTTTTTAAAATTATTTAAATGATAGCTTTGATGACACATACCATACCTAAAGTATTGTTTTAATATCATTTCTTATAGGCAATTTAAAAACATTTGAATAAAATTTAGCGCATGCGCATAATAAATGTCTATTACTAAACCACCGTGCGTTGTTGTAGTTCGCGCTTTTTACGTATTACGTCATTTCAATCGAAAACTCGTGCTCTAAGGTTAATGTTTAAATGTTTGTGTTTTTCATGTCAGGTTGTAAACCTGAATATAATAATTTAATAACCATAAATTATATTTATGTTTAAGCTACACGAGTTTTCAAATTAAGAAAGCTGATCCTCTCCGTCATGGCTATTAATATTTTAACATGCAACATAAACGGTCTAAACGACCAAACCAAACGTGACAATATTTTTGGTTTTCTTAAAAAGTCCTCCTTAGTCGACCTTATCCTCCTTCAGGAAACAAAATCTGGATTGTCCACTGTAAAGCAGTGGGGTGATGAATGGACTGGCGAGTCCATTAGGAACTCTGGTCCAAGTTACAGTTGTTGCGGGGTGGCGATTCTTTCTAAACCCAACATTTCTGTAACCGAACTAAAACGGGATACTAACGGTAGAATATTAAACGCCATGATAAAAATTGATGAACACGAAATACAAGCGCTGAACATTTACGCGCCTAATGTGCCGAGAAAAAGGCATCTTTTTTTGGCGACCTTGGAAAATTCTCGCAGGACACAGGACTACCCGTCCTGATGGCCGGAGATTTCAACATAGTCGAATACCTGCCTCTTGACACAGAAGGCTTGAACAATGCAAAATATCATACCTACGGCATTGTTGAACTCGGGGTCTTCCGAGGTGAGTATAACCTAGTCGATGTTTTTTTTAGTTATAAGTTTCCCAACAAAAGAGAATTCACATGGCGCAATCAGACGGTTAAATGTAGACTCGACAGAATCTACTGCACTGATGAAGTCGCCAAAAAAGCAACATACACCAAAATTCTCACCAACCCTTTTTCCGACCACGAATTCGTGTCAACAACTGTCAATTTTAGTAAAACTAGGAGAGGACCAGGATACTGGATATTAAATTGCTCTCTATTGAAAATAGAAGTGCATAGGCAAAAAATTGAACTCTTAATTCGAGATTGGCAAACAAAAAAAAGTCCTACGAGTCTATTTTAAAATGGTGGGACGACTGCAAACTCTTTGTTAGGGCTGAATTACAACACATTTCGATACAGGAAAGTGCGAAAAACAAAAAATAAATGAAAAGGATTGAAAACGAAATCCAACGGGAGCGACAAAACGCTAACCCGAATTTAGATAGCATTAAAGAAAAACGCGATGCTCTTTTCTTGCTCCAGTTTCCAGGAGCACGAAACAAAAACTAATAGAAGAAGGAGAAAAACCTTAAAAATTTTTGTATAATTTGGAAAAAGTTTAACAGCGGAACAAGTCAATCACCCGAATTCACAAGAATGACGGCACATTGACGAGTGAACCTGGTGAAATACTAAACACCCTGTCAACGTATTATAAAAATATTTACACCAAAACAAATTTATGCAAAGACAGCCAAAACTATTTCTTGTCACACATCACTAAACGTTTGAGTGATGATGAAAACCTGTTTTTAAACACCCGCTAAACCGGCACGGAACTAAAAGCAGCCCTTTTTAAATTGGAAAACGGAAAATCTCCGGGCTATGACGGATTTCCACCTGAATTTTACAAAACTTTTTGGTACATTTTAGAAAAAGACTTTAAAGAACTTGCCTACAAAACTCTTCTTGTAGAAAAAAATACTAGCCACTCTATAAAAAAGTCAATAATTTCACTGATTCCCAAACAAGGAGATCTTACTAAATGCAAAAACTGGAGGCCTATATCTTTAATCGGCGCCGATTACAAAATAATCACAAAAGCGCTGGCCCTGAGATTTGCAAAAGTAATGGGGAAAATTATAGAACCAAATCAGACTTTTGGAAACATCCAGGTAGAAACATTTTTTCAAATTTACATCTAGTACGTGCAGCGCCGGCCTTAGCTTTTTTGAGAGGTTGGGCAAAACTTATGAACGCGCCCCTAGGTATATATGGGTAGGTTGTTACCATTAACAACGAGACCAATGCTCTAAAATGATGAACAAGAGTGCTAAAGGGAATATATAGTTTAATGCAAAGAGATCCATATTGTGCATCAAGTTTCTTAATTAAATTTTAATAAAATTATTAACTTAGACTTTTCATGATATGGGTTTATAGAAATGAGTGACTAAATAAATAGACAACGCAACGCTGCTTTAAATATAACAAATGTTTTTATTAAACATATAATAAATCCTTTAACTATATAAACAAGAGTTATTAAATTTTAAAATATAACTTTTCTAGCTTTTTTGTCCGCAAAATTTGAAAAGCATTTGAAAAATGTCGTCTTCTATTATTGCGTGGATATGTGTCCAAATTCACTTGTATTGCACCTATATTTATTACATAATCAACAAATTGAATGTTACGATGAATTGGCCACAAACCACAGTCTGAGTAATCGATTGCTGTTTCTTTGGTGCGATCATTTACATCACCATTTTGGCCATCATCATTTTCGTTATCGATATCTTTTTCATCGTAGTGAACATTTCCGACTGACACTATTCCGTCTTCGTCATCGCAGTTTGATGTATCACTAAGTACATGCGCAACATTTTCTCCTTCCTTTATTTTATTACAATCACTATTTTCCGATGTAAAAAAATTTTTCTTCAAATTATCAACTTTTTCTGCTTTACATTTTCTGTATTGAGCACCAGATGGTTTCTTATAATTATGAGTTTTAAAAAAAACAATTTCATTATTTATACTTACCTGCTTTTTATTACCGCAAAATTTGAAAACTTGACAAAAACTGAATTTGAATCACAAATACAGCTTTAAATTTCTTCTACAAATTAATAAACGACGCGCTCGCAACTCGTACCAAAAATAATGTTTAAAATTTAAACTTTAAATAAAAGGAACGCAAAATAATTGGCGCCGAGAAAGATACAATTAAAAAAATGATTTTAAGTAACAAAATATATGCTATGATTGAAACACTTTTAATCAAATTATTAATTTTGCATAAACAATTTTTAACAGTGTAATAATACAATAAATAAATTATTTAAAGAAATTATTTTTATAAAAAAAAAAAAACATTCGAAAAATTAACAAAAAATCGAAAATCGAAATCGAAAAAATTTAGGTTGGGGATCGTACATAAACTACGCAAAGCAAAATATATTTTAAGAACAGGAGTAGGAGATATTAGGCTCTTTTACGCAGCGATTTTCATTTGACTTAATTTCCTATTTTCATTGTTTATTTAAATTAAGACTGTGCGAGGGAAAACTTTTGATCTTTTTTGTTTTGTTTTTTGTGAAACTTTGCGTTACGTAATTTATGGACGATCCCTTGATTTATTTTTTTTATTTATTATATTGTTAAAGTTTGCATACAACGTTTGGCGCCCTAGTTTCCTGGCGCCCTTGGGCGGCGCCCAACCTCGCCCTCCCC